GTAATGAGGTGGATGGCATATAATTTTTTCAAGAAAGAGGTCTTTTACCTAACAAGTATGCAAAATTGGCCACAATATGAAACTTTACGTTAAAGATGAAATCTTTGGAGATGCAATGTTAAAAATTGCAAAAAGGGCCTCCATGTTGAAAACTGGTTCAGTGGTTCCAGAATATCATTTGTCACTGTATTAAGGTATCCGACTACGTTCGATACCCTAATTTTGAAAAAGTGTACAAATAAACTCATTTTTGGTGTTAATTAGCATATTATTAAAATGCAATTTTTACTTTTTCTCACATTTTGTATCAAAAATGTATTCAAATTTCAGTCTCACAAGATTAATTTCCTCAAAATTATCAATAATTTACTTTAATTTTTTCACTTATATTTATAAAGCATAAGGATAAAATGGACTAAATCGAAGTCATAAAGCAAAAGTCTATCAAAATATACCTGTTTGGTACATACACTAGCTATTTTTCAGAAATTTTTCTCTCTTCATTTACAAATTGTTGCAAAGATCTTACTATGTATACGGAACCTAAACTTTTAGTCCATTTAATCCCAATATTCTAAAGATAATTTGTGGAAGTATCATAAAACTGCTATAGTAAGTTATAGTAAGTTATGGTGTTTCATATTAGAAATGTTGACGACAAACAAGTTTTTCAAAAAACAATTTAAAGTTTATCTTTAGAAAATATCTTAGAAATTGATATATTACATTGCTAAAACTGCCCGTTTTGTTATATTACACCTTCTGTTAACTCTATTTTAGACGATTTTTTCTTTAAAGAAGCTCTTAATTTTTTTCTTGCGATTTTTGCGGGATGTAAAGAATGCCATTTTGAATCGACAATCCGAGTTTTATCAATAGAGTTATATCCCTTGACGGTATATTGTCGATGTTTCATATTAAGTTTTGCCAATATTTTTAACATACCCAAAAATCCATTATTAAAATGTATTACTCCTATATAGGAACGAAGACACAATGTTGCCAACTCAAGAAACACTTGTTCTGGTATGATACGTTATTAAAAACTATCATGTTTTGAGTTTTGAAAACACACTGGACAGGTAATGCAAAAATAGAGATTTAAAATTTCCACATCAAATATTTTATAAACCAGCATTAGTAGCTTCATTATAATTTTCAGAAAATGTTTTATTGTTTCCTAGTTTAATTCACTGGGTAGAAAATTTTCACAGTATATGTTTTCCAGCAAATCGTCGTTTTTAGAACGAAAGTTCCACGCCAACCCTTACGACGTTACATAATAAAGTGAAAAGTTTTATAACAAATGTTAAAAACAAGCAGGAGAATAAAAATAATACTGAAAACAGCAAGCACCGAAATCAGAGTGTAATCAAATCAGAATGTAAAGACAAACGGAATTTTGCCAAATACGATCTGAAATTTCGAAAGCGTCTTGCACATAATATAATACATTATTTCAAAAAATCTTTTGAATATTGCCACATATTCAAATGAATATCTTTTTTTAGAAGTCTGTGTCCCTTAAATATCAATTTCGCCATTTAAACAGAACTTCCAGTTATGGTGTAGAACAAAAAAAGCAATACTCTATTCTAATATCGAGAGAGACAAAACAAAAAAGTTTTTAGAAGCAAAAATTATAAGCTTTTTTAAATTAAAGTAATAAATTTTTTTTGAAAAATTTCTTCAAAATTGACGATCAGAATGTAGTCGGGTACCTTAAATTTATGTATTTTTAGGTAGAGGAGCTGACGTCGTGAAATGATGTAACAAACGGCTTAATATGTGTGAAAATGTTGCAGTTGACTGGAACAAATACATGTGATTAAATAATAACAAGGATTCTTAAAAATACCCTTAGGAAATGCCACGCGAGTATTATTGTTATTATTATATATGTGTTATTTTTATATTTGCACTTCATGAGCTTGGTGAAATTATACCCGAGTTCTTGGCACAAATCTAAAATCGCTAAATATGACTGGAAGCTCCTCCTATAACAAAGTACCTTTTTTACATCGCACAGCCATATTTATTCATTTTAAGTCACACTTTTCTTGATGCCAGGATTCTGTAATTTTGAAAATACTCTATTGTGTTCTGTTCCGTTGAAGAAACGTCCCAAATTTTCATCCTTTTTTCAAAATCTGATTGAAAACAGATAAACAGCAGTTAACATGTATCCTTTTTTACAAAAATTAAATCAACTTTCATAGTCCATTCAGTTAACATGTATCCTTTTTTACAAAAATTAAATCAACTTATAAAGAATTAACTGGGTTTACATAAAAACAAAGCGTTCCATCATGCTTATCCATTATTAGTGCTAAATTGCACTGTTTGGCAACAGTTTTTGTTAAATTCAAATCATAGTCCTATTCATGTTTTTAAGGAACAAATCTCTTATTTCCTTACACTGGAAAATCTCCTAGATTTCAAAAATTTCCAGTTACTTCAGCTTTATGTTGAATGTCAGATGACGGGGTTTAAATGTAATACTTTCCAGTTTTTCAATTATATATATATAAAGAAAGTTTAACTTTTGCAATAAACCACTTCATTCAAAGATCAAGAGAACTTTAATGGTAATCTTTTGTTATACAACCCCTTAACTAATATTGTAAACATCATAAGCGAACTTCTTTAAAATAGGATTTTTAGTTATTTTACGAGTTTTTGCCGTTTTTATCCACAGGAACTAGTTTTTCCCGTGCCGATTTTAGCAATCTAAGCAGAAATCTAGCCTAAGCAGAAATCTAGCCAAAGCAGAAATCTAACAGCTCTGCTTAAAAGTGAAAAAGAATATCAATAAAATGCTTTTTGCATATTTGATTATATTCCATTTCTTTTTTACAGCATAATAAAAACAATTAAAAAATACAATTGTTAAGAAAATTTAATGAGTGAAACACTTTAATATACAGTGGTGGCCAAAATTGTGGACACTTTCGGAAATTTTTATGTGTTTGAACTTTGTATGCTTATAGAAAACGTTACGTTTCACAAAATGCAAGCTTGTATGTATCATTTTAAAGAGAATTATTACTGATCATACAAAACAAAAAATTCAATTATTTGAAATACAAAAAAAAGTTAAAGGATAATAGTTATCGATATACTTAGATAGTGATGATTGCTGAGTTTTCGTACTTAGTAGGTACCTTTATTTTGATTACAGCTTCACATCACATTTCTTGAGCTGACAAGAGTTTAAGCTCTTCTTCGTATTACATGATGCCAGGAACAATTATAGCCTCTTAGTTCCCTTTTATTTGATGGGCCCCTCATTCGGACAAGAGTTTTCAAATGGTGCCACAAATTTTCGATATGATTGAGGTCAGGACTGTTTCCTGGCATTGAAACATTAATGCTCTTTGTACAAAACCATTCTTTCGATATTTTGGCTGTGGAAGGAGCCGAATCCTGGCTGAAAAATAAATGAGCATTGCTGGGAAAGAGATCTCTGATGGAAGGTAGAAGTTTTGGTTCTAGAATAGTGTCATTATTTTCGGCATTCAGTGCCCGCGAGGACATGAAATCGATATACATCTGCTGACATGCATGACCAAAAATCAAACACTAAGGGTCTCTTCATAGTTGCTTGAATGCAGTCAGGATGTAGCTCTTCTCCTATTCTACATCTTACATATTTTCGCCATCACACCGAATAAGATATTTAGTTTCATCACTCCATAAACTTGTGACCACGGATTATCTGTCCAATTAATTTTCCTTTGCCCAGTAGTCTTTTTTTTCGTTGCCGGAAATAAGATAAGGCATTTTCGTGGGAAGTTACCTCTCAGTCCAACATCTGTTAATTCTCTGATTGTTCTTGAACTGAGAGAAACACCAGCAGCATTCAGATCACTTCTGATGGCCGCTGATGACATTTTTATCTGGAGACATAGTTCCTTTATTCTTCTGTCGTCAATAGATGTGGTGCACCTTTTTCGGCTTTTCCTTCTTTGTTTTTTATTGAATTTGTTTTGATATCGTAAACAAAACTTTCGGACTCCAGATGTAGTCACTGAACCACCCACCTGTCTTGCAATTTCAGCATAGGAAAGACCACTTTCTCGTAACACATAATATTACATCTCTTTCTAGTGTCCGTTCTACTCTTTTATTTGATGTCATGCTTCTTGACTAAATATTAAAAATTTTTACAAAAATCCTACTGTAAATGCAGTGTATAAGAAACAGGTCCTTCTTCTACAGAACAAGCAAAATAATGATTTGTTTCAAGTGTAAACAGTCAGCTTCTACTGGCAGTTACTAACATTTAACTGGTTCTCAGGACAAGAACAGTGATGGCCAGGAAGCTACACATTACAAACCACTTCATAACTATGTTTTTATTATATTAAAGTAAATAAAATTTTTTTTATTGCAATAATTGAATTGTGTTTTGTATTGAATTCAGTGATAAATTCTCTTTAAAATTATATATACAGTTTGCATTTGCGAAAAACATTTCTATAAGCATACAAATTTCAAAAACATAAAAATTTCCAAAAGTGTCCACAATTTTGGCCACCACTGTATAGATTAAAAATGAAAACCATCAAATAACTTACTTTATTTAAAAAAAAAAAAAAAGAGGAAGCTCCATATTTATTAAACAAATTAAAATTTTCTTCAAGGTAGCTTTAACTCACAACAGCATACATGCAGTTGCTTATGGGAGTGATAACCTGATGTTGAAAAACATTACAACTGCAAATTACTGAACTTCTAAAGATTCTTTATAGTGTGGGAATAATACCTGATTTTGCTTATCAAACACGATTATAAAAAAATACAGATAAATTACAAAGTTCAAAGAAAAATCATTACACAAATTACAAAGAAAATAATTTCAACTTCCATTAAAATAATCAATTTATGAAAATCTTTATAAAAATTTCACTTATCAAAAAAATAATAATTTATAATTAATAGTGTCTGAAAGCTTTTTTGAATAAACATATCAAGCTATTAAAATTCTATTGTATTACCTGTTTTCTAATGATTCTCGTTGCTCTGGTTCTGGTTCATATGATTCTGAAAGATCGTCGGCAACATTCGAGAAAGTCCTACGAATCCAACTTCCAAATCTAAGACCCTAGTAATAAAAATCATATATAAATAAAGATCATAAAAATTTCAAGTTACGTAAACATTGCATTATAAATAAGCATTACCTACCAGAAAATATTTTATAGTTTTGTTTAAAATACCCATGAAAAATTAGGCTAAAATATTTCCTAATTTTTTCCTGTATTACTAGCAAAGCCACCAGAGAATGGTCAAAATTAATTAATCACTCAATCTGCTACATACAAATTTTATGTAGCCAAAGCAGCTTTAACAAGAAAGTACCTTAATTTTTTATTGTAATTATGAGAATTCTCGTAATTATTCTCTCTTGGACAAGAGAAAAAAATCTGAAAAGATTTCAAATTTTATATTACGCCCAAAGGGGTGTTTCTTTAATGTTTTGTGCATTACCTTTATTTACTAAATATCATGTTCTTAGCACTTAAACCATAAAATTCAATCCAACAGCAATATCGCAAAATATTGGGTAAAAGTTTACAATTGGGTGCCCCTTGTTTATTGGCGATTCTTTTTTGACGCCAAGATCGGCGCCAGGAAGTCACAATTTCAAGATGGCCACTACACAAAACTAAAATAAGAAGTAGAAGAATTGCATAAGATCTGTGTCCATGTACACATCGATCTGTTTTTACTTAAAGAAACATCCTAGAATTGCACATACTAGGCACTGCACACTGCCTTAAATATGCCCATGTACACATCAATCTATTTTCATTTAAATAAAATCGGGAAGTTAAAACAAAGTTTAAACTATCATGGTAACCAAAAGTGAGGTTTCATTGCCAAAATTTAAAAAAAAAAATGTCACCAATCGAAGGAGCACCCAATTCTACACTAAAGCCAAATATTGTAAAGAGCATATCATTAGAATTTCCGATACACAGTCTTATGCGCTGGAGATTAAAAATCCCCCCCCCGTACAGTGTTGCCATTGCTCGCATTGAAATTGCAGAGTTTCTTAATCAAAACTCATAAATGGTTTACAAAATATGAAATAAGTAATAAAAGAGATTCCAACTTTGGGCTTCCAGATGCCTACATTCAGGTGGAGACATATTTTGGTTAATCTTCGGATTATGGCAACTTGGCGACCAACCCTGCTACAGCAACCTGCTAGCTTTTGTTTGGACGCCATTTTGTTTTCACGAAGTAAAGGCATTTTTTTTTACTCAACATTTTTTTCCAACAATCTGCTAGCCGAATTATGCTTATGCTAGAACTTTTAAGGATCAAAAGTGCTTAATCATGATGAAGATTAGGTGCGAAATTGGGAGAAAGTGCAGATTTGCAAACTGCTTGCCACGTTTTTAAGAATTGCACATACACGGTATCCATGTACACGTCGACCTATTTTCACTTAAAAAAAAAAACCCAGAATTGCACAAAAATGGCATTGCGCACACTCTTGACTTTATCCATGTACACTGCTAAAGTCCTAGCTAGTAACCTTTATCGCCTTACCGAAATCAATGCGAGAAACGCACATACATTTATGCAGATTCTTCTTCATTTAATTTCTTTAAATACAGGGCAATAATTTTGGCGAACACAATTTCAAAAGTGATTCGCTGTCTTTAATAAATTAACTCAAAATGCCTAAACGAAATTAATAACTCTTCTGAGCTAACACTCCTTTGGCCTAAAAATAACAATCTGAATGTCATACAATTTACCCTCTCAAATTAATCAATTTCAAGTTTTTTTTTTTTTTTTTTTTTTTTTTAATTAGCAGTTCTCTGTATTGTGGATTATTAACCAAAGTCTCTGATAACCAGATCAATTCATTTATGTCGTTAACCTGAATTCTCAGTAATTGTTAATAATTAAATATTTATATCTTATCAGTCATTACATTGGAATTTGAATACACCGATCACATATAGCAAGCTTCAGTTATATTTAATATTTTGTACGGATGTTGTTTTTATTTAGAATAGGAATGTCAACCTTTCAATGCCCTTGGGTTATACAGGACTGACTATTTTGACAGGAAGGAAACTAGTAGATGGCCTGCATATTCACTAAATTTAAATGTAACAGAAAATCTGTGGAACACACTGGGATGTCAACTTGCAATAGAGCAGCTCCTACTTAACATTCTCATCTTCAAGGCTCTATTCATTGTTTGTTGTTAAACTTTGTTTTAAATTTGTTTAAATTTATTGTTAAACTTTGTTATTATAAGAATTCCTGAACAATCTAATTGAAAGCATAGAAAATTGTAAAGCTTGTATTTCGGTTAGGGGTAGCCACACGTGATTAATGTTTTCTAAAGTTGCGACAGACTTTTTTTTTTATCTCCATTTACATATTTCAGTACTATCACATTATCTGTCCAAGCCTGACAAGAATCATCGGTCAAAGCACTATGGCACCAAAATAAGGAATCCAGAATTTAAAAAAAAATATAGTTATCTGGCAACAGACTAATGGCTGCTTAAGCACTATGCAAACACCTAATTCCATACTCAATCTGGGTGGCGAAGGTAATGAGCATGGTTTTGAATTTCAAGGGTCGTGTTTGTGGTTTCTGTTTGTTATGATTAGTGTGCGGAATTTTTTTTTTTTTATAATGAACCATAATGCCACTGTGGAGTTTGTCTACTAATGAAGAAGAAAGTGTTGCATTTTTTAGAAATACTGCATTTTGCCTAGTAGTAGAACGTAGGAATGCAAATTCCACAAAGTTAATTTGTGCAATCCTGACTTTTTAAAAGTTAAAACAGGTCAATGTGCATATGGCCAGAAAGCAGAAAGGAAAGTTAACTGTTTTATTATAAATGTATGTTGTACTTTTAGTTAATTAGTTGCTGTTTTATGCAATTCTGAGCATTTCATTAGGGATGTTTTTCATGTTTTTAATTTTGTTAACTCATTGCTGTTTTACATAATTCAGCATGCCACCATTTTTTTAAATGGATTAACGGTAAATGACTGTACAGAAGGGCTGAACAGATAAGAAAAGGTATCCATATTTCTTAAGTTCTTAAATTTAATTTTTTCACTGCATTTGGAAGATTCATTAGGCATAAGAATATAATGATCCTGTGCAAGTTCAATCTGCAATATGATTCAAGTTACGTAAATTTTATAGTTCTTTTAATTTTTCTTGCTAATGCCTTTCAACATTTTCCATTTTTGTACTTAAATATATAAAAAAATTTTCATTTAAATTTTACAAAATGGTAAAAAATTTAGTTTCTGATATTTATCTCAAATAATTCTAATATGTTAAATTAACCACTAAATAACTTTTTTGAACATAAACAAATTATGAAAACTTTCATTTCATAAAACCAAATTTTCATAAAAAGCTTCCCCAGTGAAAATAACTTGAGAATAAATAATGGCAACCTAGGTTTTTTTTTTTATGTGATAAATTTTATAACAACACATGCAGAAAAGTACATACAGTCAAAAGTCGTTAATCGGGACTTCGGCGATTCCGGATTATAGATCATCAGTTTAAATATGGTAAGATGGCATGCAGAAATTACAAAATTAAAAATATGAAACCGTAATTTATGAAAATAAAGAACAATTATGATCTAAAGGGTATCAAATTTACAAAAAAGAAAAGCTTAATATTTATTTGTTTACTTTATTAAACATTCTTTCAATGTAAGTTGTTTAAGTTACTTCGTTTCATGCGATAATACTTTCTCTTTAATTCTATTTTAAACAGACAAAATTTCTTGTTTAGTTACAAAGTTCCGCTGTTCAAGTCCTATAATTGCTGTGTCGAGAATACCAACTAATTTGTCAATCGAAATTTTTTCATTTTCAATGACCTCTGTGTCACTTTCTTCACTATCAGAAGCAAATTATAATGACAAGAAACTTGATTTAAATCATATCAAAGATGGAGTACATCGAGATGAAATACTACATTTAGTAAAGAATTATAAGCCAAATAAAATCAAAACATCTGCCCTGAAGATAAAGATAGTGCTGACAGATCAACTTCCAATTCATTGCGCAACATTAACTGAATTAGATAATTTTAGCTTAGCTTATACTGTCCGTTATACATTAAACGCGCATGCGTAAACGTATTATGCGCATATTCGCAGCAGTAAAGGTCTTAAGCGCACGCGTGAACGCCTATGCGCGTTGACACATGCGCAGAAAGTTTGTAACTTTGAGGTCCGGATTATAGATCATTCCGGATTATGGGTGTCCAAATTAACGACTTTTGACTGTATATGATTGTATGCAAGTAACTATACATTTCTATGACCTTTTAGTACAGCTTGCCACTTGATAGCGTTCTGAGTTTGGTAATGCCTGTAACTCTTAGAAAAAAATTACTGCAAAAATATATTCTTAACAGAATGTAAATGCTCATCAGTCATACAGGCATTTCTGTTAGACCTGTTAACTTTCAGCTGTGAAAAACCTGTTTACATACAGGGTGTCTGTTTTTGTGACATTAACCAAAGCCATCTGCAGCTTAATCTATCAGCTGGAATAATGATAAATTTGGTAGAGGGACTACAGAGGACATGGGAAAAAAGATTACGTAAAAAAAAAAGTTAATTCCTAAAGTTGCCGATAAGGAAGAAATGTGATGCTGTTTAAGTCTAACTGTAGACAAATCAAAAACAGAAATTTCAGAGTAAAACCCTTTTATTGCAGCAAATGAACTTTGGCAAAGGATTACAGACATGATATTCTAGTGCACAAGAGCACTTTATTCAATAAAAGTGCTTCCTTGGCAAGAATGCAATTACCCTTCTCCTGGATCACACACTGCAACCAGTACACAATATTTTTCACAGCCAAACATAGCATACCACCAGGAATGCTCACCACAGACCTACAATATGTTATCATTTAAGATCATCGAAATCAGGATTCCCCCCCCCCGTCCCAACACAGATCTTGAACTTAAACAATCCCACAGAAAAAATTACACAAAGTTAGATATGAAGAGCAAGATGGCAATCCAAGTAGAAAAAAAGAACTTACAATGACTTTTGGTGAATGCAATCGGATTTCATTTACTGCATTGAATTCGAGAATTGCGAGTGTTAAGATCATTTAGGTGAATAAAGGCCTTGTTTTCTCAGTCAGTGCAAAACATCATCCACTTATATTAATCATTGTTTTAATTCCTGCATACAGCTTATCTTGTATGGGTAGAACTGAAGAACTTTTTACAAGATTTCTCATAACACTGAAAGATTCAAATCCAACTGGAAAACTATTTCCTGGGCATTAACTACTGCCAATTCAGCAACGGTCCCACAGGTGCTATCAATGATTGCAGTCACAACATTGCCAAACCAAACTGCTAAGGATTCTGCTTCTTCAAACTTCTGAATTATGTCTTTCAATACATTAATTAATTAAAGAATGTTTTTATGCAGATTACAACTTCTAAACTCATGAAAAGCAGCAGTTGCTTTTGACTAATGAACATAAAACAACTTCATAAGCAACACATGTTGAGGTTAAAGTACAAGGCATGTTGAACCCAATTAACATTCAGAATGTCCTTCGATGTTTTCCCCGTATCTTTATAGACTGTATTATTAATACTGCTGTCATTTATGTAACTTAACATTTGCATTTTCAAATTTTTCCTACATTTTATGCAAATTTTCAGCCATGCAGACTAAAACAGCACCACATTTCCCTCTATCCACAACTTTCGTAGCTCATTGTTTTCACAGAATTTTTTTCTTTCCATATTGTTGTAATTCCCTCAACCAAAAACTGGCTTACCAAATATGGTGGCATTCTAGCTGATGGACTGAGATAGATACAAGATAGCTCTTTTAAAGCTCATATAAAAGCAATATTCAAATGACAAGTATTGATGTAACATAGATTTAACGATAAGCACAAATAGCAGGTTTTACAAGTCATACATTAGTTCGTCTCCATCTATGAGCAATATGAATTACAGAGCAGTATATCCATCCTACTAACAAGTGAGACTGACTTGAGGCAAGTACACTTCTCCAAAGCATCAACTCTTTTTTCTTTTTGGCGGGAGGAGGTAACTGCACACACCAGAATATAAATTTTTTACTAATTGTTGTTTGGCAAATAAATTTTGATTGCACTAATGTTCCACCGTAGACCGGTCATGGAGCCTCGTACGACATAAAACATTTTTCATTTAACTGAAATCATAAACCTATTCGTTCTAGTTCACTACTTTCATTCAATTACTTATAACAGCATCTGGTTCTACTCTGCTAAGATTGAACACTGTCCAAAGCTGTGCACTTAGCTTATTATTGGTGCATTTATTTCAACCATTGAGGTGGCTATGGAACTGCAGACTGGCTTACCTAATTTGGCTAACAGCCACTTTGACTACGTAAAAGATTCTTTTGTAAAGACACCTTTTGGCCTAACTATGTTCCAGCTCAATCTAGACTAAAGACGCAGAACCCTTTTCCTTGCGATGACGGATCAATTATCAACAAATACGGGACTTCCCTTAAATTGTTTGACTACTTTTAAACCTTATACCTTTCCAAGCCTTTTGCATTATGCAACAGCATCATTTTACTTGGTTATTAGCATTAAAAAAAAAAAAAAAAGAGTTCTCTCCATGATGAACTTAAAACTATAACGCTGGCTACTATCTACTAGACAAATCCTAGAGTGCACTAGACTCGTATCTACATTGATAGTTGAAGGGGCCGATGCTGGTATCTTTTCAGAATTATTTCAATTGAGTGAGGCAGTTGGGTACTTTTGTGACAACTTTGATGCTGAATTGCATGCTATTTTGAAGGCCATCTGTGTCATTAAAATTACAGTGATAAAAATATTGTTCCATTTCTGGATTCTAGGACTACTATTACAAGTTATAATATTGACCTTGCATCCACAGAGTTCGAGTGCAAATTACAGATTAGCTCTGTATTTGAGCAAAGTAGGGATGTTCTCTTGCAATGGTTTCACAGTCATATCGATATTCCTGCAAATGAGTAGGAATATCGATATGACTGTGTATAGGTACTCACTAAGGAGGGTTATGTTTTAACAAATCCGAATTACATGTTCCTCTTAGAATAATCAAACGAACTACTACACATCCATAAGGCCATCTGTAGTAGTCTGTTTCTATTACATTCACAAGGCCATGTGCCACAAGTAGTGGCCACAAGGTGGCACATGGCCTTCCTTGACAAGGTGAATGTAATAGAAACAGACTACTACACATCCATAAGGCCATCTGTAGTAGTCTGTTTCTATTACATTCACAAGGCCATCTTATTCTGCCAACACAGGGACGCTGCAACTGCGAAGAATTTGTGCTTCTTATTGGACAAACAGATGTGTACTTCTCCACCAAAAGCTTGCTTCAGATAATTGTGATGCGACATGACTACTCCCAGGCTCATCTTAGATTTGAGCTTGCAGACTCCCTAGACTAGACTAGAGTTGAGTTTTATGTTCATTAGTCAAAAGCAACTGCTGCTTTTCATGAGTTTAGAAGTTGTAATCTCTGCTCTATTGAACGGCCAGCATCTTCTTTCTTGTACTGCTTTGCGAGATGTTCTTTCATTGGACTTCTTTACGGCTCTCCCTACAACAGAGGGCAATTTCTTTTATTTATTGGACTGCATGATGCTATGTGCTCGGAAGAGTCTAGGTAGGCATAATTTTAAAAAAGTTCAGTTTCATCCAGTAACAATCATGCATATAAAAACAATCCATGTTTCTAATGTTAATTATATTTTAAATTGTAATCAGTTCAAACACCTTTAATGCTTTTTTTTTTTTTTTTTTAGCTTCGGTAAAAGTATATTTTAGGGTACCCCTTGGCGATACTTGGCGATTTTTGATGGTACATGGATACAGAGTTTGTGCAATTCTTTTCCGCTAAAAATCACAGCTACACAAAGCCAAAAATAACAAGACAAAGAATTGCACAAACTCTGTATTCATGTACATATCAACCTATTTTCACTTTAAAAAAAATCCCTGAATTTCACAAAAATGGCATTGCGTACTCCCTTGACTTTATCCATGCACACGTCGACCTATTTTCACTTGAAAAAAATCCAAGAACTGCCAAACTTGCATTGCACACTCCCTTCGCTTTGTCCATGTACACATCAATATATTTTCACTTCAAAAGTCAAAGGAGCACCCAATTCTACAATTACAGGCAAACAAAAAATACATAATCTCAATAAACTACATTTTAAATCAAACAATAAAATAACATAAAAAAGGAAAAACATTTTATACATGTTTTCCTTTTTTATGATATTTTACACTACAAAAAGCAAATATCCACTTACCCTATTTAAAAGATCCTTCGTCTTTAGTTTGTGGCACACAAAATTCCTTAACAGCATCCAAAAACTTCCTAAAATTATCTGAACTCGAATCTGTATATCAGCATTACCACATCTGAACATTTCTTCCTACAAACCCATTCAAATAGATCTGAACGGTTTTTACGTTCGACTAGACGCATATCCTACCTACGTACAGAACACTTAAAATGGCTACTAAGTAAACCTTTATTTACACACCAGTCAATGTTTTTTTTCCCTTTCGTTCCAAACCGCACAGAAACTTTAGAATAACCTTACTAAATTCAGCCATTCTACCATTTAATCAATAAAGCCAACACACACCTCGAAAGTGCTTACAAAACATCCCACAATTCAAAATTTCCCAGAATCATGCACCCGATTACGTCTCAATAGGGTTTTCACAACATTCAACTACTCAGGCTATTATAAATGAAACAACTTGACGATAAATGAAACAATCACTTCCCCATAATACAAGGGGTGACTTAAAGTCTACGCTAACCCTCAGCTTCTTCTGTCCCTCTCTCAGAGCACCATTGCATATATACTTTTGGTTGTGTGCCAATGCTAGCTTTTAACACAATAGGCATATAATGACCGCCGAAATATTTACTAGTGTTTTTCTATTTTCTGATTAAATACTATATTGCAATACATTACTCAATGAATTTATGCTATATTGAAACCTATAAACGCTGCATTAAAACAAAATTATGCATTGGTAGGATACATGAAATTGGTTTGCAGCCTGTCAATTTGAAACCACTGACATACACCTTTCTCACATATTTCATGAAGCTGCCAAATTTATTTTAAATAAAATAACATCTATTGAAAAATATTTTTTGCTCTCCCATTTGGTACTCTTATCATTGGTCTAATTTATATACAAATGTCTTTTTTTCAAAAAATGTACTCTACCCTAAAAATTACATATGGTAACTCCGTTCCTTTATTAACTCTCAAAATCTTAGAAAAGCTATCATTAAGTTCAAAATATATTAGAGCCATTTATTAAACTGAAAACTGTTTAACTTGTAATAATACAACAATTACAACCAATTACTAAACACACAGTTTCAAAGTTCAGAAAACTCACTTCATCACTACTTCAATTCAACATATCTTTTGTTTATTATTTCCAACTTTTGTAGAATATTGCTATATACATGAAAATTTTAAAAATTGCTATAGTTTCTATTACGTTCAAATGGCAAACTTTTGCTCAAAAGATTGACTAAAAAATAAAAAATAAAAAAAAATAATACAAAAAAAAAAAAGCACTAGTCCAAACTTTATTTTTTAGTTTGGAAGTCATGCACAGGAGAAATGAGTTTTCAATAAATTATTAATATCTGCATTAATTCGATTTAAATAACTTTATTCCTAGATATGAAATATTTTGTTTTCAAGGGTTATCATATAAATATAAACCAAAGTGAAATTCAACACTATACGTGCGAATTATGAATTAAAGAACACTACTTACATTTATAAGAGCTAAGTCTTCCTCATCTACATCTGAAACATATTCTTCACTAAAAGAAACAGAAAAAAGATATTTACAAGAAAAAGTGAACAAAATTCTGTTATACGATATACGAGTGTACTTCTCTGACAACTTATAAAACAATGACATTTCAATTCCTATTTTAATTTGTTTTACACAAGCTACGGGGGAAAAATAAAAACTTACTCAGCATCAAAGAGATCTCTTGACATTTCTTCAAGGAATTCTCCGGAACATTCAGGGCATGTCAGTTCTGTCTGATGGGATAAAAAAGGGCAAAATAATTTTTAAAATTCTTTTTTTACAGTTATTATCTTATAACTTAATGATAAAACTGAAATGAAAAGAAAGAAGACATAGCTACTATAAAAACAGCTTTCTACAAAACAAAAACACAAGAGTAAAGCTTCTAACTGAAAATTAAAATTTCAATATTATTTCTTAAAAAAAAGGCTGAAATGGCAACTGTTACTAAAAATATATTCCAAGGTTTCGTTATCAAATACTGTGAGTCAGATAGCATACAGCAGAAAAAAAAAAAGAACACATTTCACACATAAATTCATTAGAATTAAAAAACATAATACAAGCTTACCGTGTGAATAGGTGAAACAGTAACCTCCCTGGAGCAGCCATGGCAAAAATACCTAGAACTCATTGACGCAAGTTCTATGCCCTCCGCCATTGCTCCTGGTCAGAAAAATGACTGAAGTAACAACACTGAAATCTTAGTTGAGTTGCGTTGAGATGGGCTGCTCTTGAAGACAACAGTTACCCATCTTTTCCAACATTATTATACAACATAACGTTCTAAATAATGGCATAAAAAACTATGTTCTTTTTTCAGAGTAAAATTTAAAAACCTGATTTTTCTTACATAATATCTCTAGCTAGAATATTTAGCGCTATCATAGCAGCTATAATATTGCAAACATAACATTAAATGCTATCGTCGTAATGTTATTCAAAGAAATTAGTTGCTCCCCTATAACACTTTTTTTTTTTTTTTTTTCCAAATTACAGCTATAATTACTTTTTTTCGGAGCCCAAAATCTTTTGGATGAGCTATCGAATTTTACACTTTCAGTTTGTTTAAGGATTCGAGATAAGGTGATAATATATTATGCATATTTACCTGCTATTCATGATTTTATTTCTTCTAAATAACAAATAATACAATATTCCTTTTAAATAGTTTTATTATTTATTATTAAATATTTAAAATTTTATAGCTTCTACTTATGTATGCTTTTGGAATTCTGTTGAATATTTTCCTTGCTCGGTTTCCTGTCTTCAGTGAGCGATGTATCCAAAGGTCAATTAACGTTTGACCCCGGAGGTCAGTGATTGGAGCGACTGACGGGAAACACGCATTAGATAGATATGTAGTGAAATAAATTTTATTTTCTCATTCACAAGTGCCTGATAAGTCGACTTCAGCGATGTTTTCCTCATTCTTTCTACTAGTCTGTGTATTCGTTCTAACTAATGCCACAACTTTGTCAAATACTTTAAATGAACAAGGTAAGAAAAGTCTTCTTATTTTTGGCTATGCTTGCCATGTTTATGAAAAAAAAAAAATTCTTAGGCTGTACTTGCATTCTATGAGAGATAGTTCATATCTCAGTGAATTAAAACTTAGATCCCCAAAACCAATGAAATTCAATAAATTTTGGCTTCATTATGAAAAGTCCGCACATTTAACTCTCTTATAACTAATATTTCTTTTAATAAGCAAAAATCTTATATAAAATAGTTTCAAATGTATGAGTTTTTTTAAACATTTTTCATGTGTTTATTTATTTGTAACGTTAATGTGCATGGAACAAGAATATAAGTGTAGGTATAGAGTATATGGTATAAGTATACAGTGCATGGCTTACAAAAATATATTTGAAAGGAAAATTACCGCCTTACTTTCAAATCAGTAAGATCATCATAAATTATTTTTAGCAACTCATTTATAACTTCCTTAAATAATCTACAAAATTTTTTAATCAACATTTAAATCACAATTAACCCTTGTTAAAGGAAAATATTTTGAGTATCCAAGTTATTTTTACCTTTAAATGCTTCTTCAAAGAACCAGCTCATGTTCAGAAAGTGAAGTTTATTTAAAATTTATTTAATATTTTTTAGTATCAAATAATTATTTTTCATGTAAAAATATTACGTAAATTTATTTGGTACTATTCGGTTTCGAGGGCCGTAAAAAATCCAAACTATTGTTTATGCCAATGCTGCCAAAAATATTACGGCAACCCTATATGTGGCAGAAGAAGTATATATACTATTAAGATGTGCTTTAATTTATAATGAATGTTTTCATATAATACTAGTTATTATTATATTTTATATGAAAAAGGCTAAACAATACGGAATGAAGCATAAGAGAAATAACGCTATCGATCATTATTATATTACATAAAATTGCTAAATAACTGATGGCTGCTGCATCGCTATTTCGCTACCGACTTACCGCTAAACATCCGTTTCATCTGTTGGTTGTTCAAACGCAATTCTATAATGATGATGCCTTTTCTTTGAAAATATTCTCGGTAAGTGCAAATCACTCACTTATTTTGCCACTTTTTACAAGGGTAAAAAAATTAGATTTTTTTCCAATTTTCTTTTTACTTTTCAAGTGAAAATAGGTCGATGTGTACATAGTCAAGGGTGTGCGCAGTGGCCTTTTTTGTGCAATTCTGGGATTTTTTTTTAAGTGAAAATGGTCAATGTGCACATGGATATCGAGTATGTGCAATTCTTATAAACGCGTCAAGCAGTGGGTGATTCTGCACTTTACCAAAATTCTATTGCCGACTTTTCCGTCATGGGCAATTCTCAATTGTTAATCCATAGATATCAAAAAGGATTTAAAAATTAAAAATATTTCACTGGCGTTTTGAAAATTAGAACTATAACTTAATCTGAATTAGCGCGTACGCTAGATTTGGCGCGCTGTTAAATGGGCGCGTTTGCTAGATTTGGCGCGTTTGCGCATACATTTTCACTGCAATTTTTTTACGGCCCTCGAAACCGAACAGTACCATTTAGGTATATTTATGGCTTTCAAATAAATCTCATTTGAAACAAAATATCTGTTGAAATCTAAAAGGAAGCAAATAAAAAGAATCAAATATATTGCAATATATCCTCATTGTAACGCAGCAGGAATGCATAGAGTAAACATATATGCAGTACAAGGTGAAGAAAACTTACGCTTCAAAAATTCAGATTAATGTTTAACCCCATCAAGCGAATTTTACTGTTCCGTAAATAGACCAATGTTGTCAAATAGCGAAACTAAATCTTTGCTTTTTAACAAAGCCAAAACTACACAAAATAGTTCAATTCAGAATATACCGACGTTTGTTATGCCGAAAAGTTCATTACTATTTGACGTGTGTGTGAGTGGAGGTGGGACCAATTAGATTTAAAAAATAGATAGATACCAAGGTATTTTGACTTTATGTGGAGATAGAAAAAATTTGACTAAAGTTAGAACTACAATTTATATACCTACAAAATTTCATCACCAGCCTTCGATTTTATTTTGGATGCAAATAAAGTAGAGTTATTCTTCAATCTGTTATAATAATGTTGGAAAACAGAATTGGAAGATTGAAATTTAATGTATTGTGATATAAAGTAATATCTGGCGCAAATTGTTATTAAGAAGTACAGTTAAATTTAGTTTCAAAGGTGCTACTTTAGTAGACGGTTGCACGGGCTTTTGGCGATTTACTTTGGCGCGGTTTTTACAATCGCAGCCATCTTGAAATCCCCCGTTTTTACGTTATTTTGCGCATAATAGAGTATTCGAAGCTTTAAAAAATAAATATCATTAAAAATAATGGATTAATTTTTGGTTGAAAACGTTGTTTTTTAAGATGGCAGGCAAATGTAAATAAATACATTTACTACGGGTATGAAATACTAAAGAAAGGTTAAATTATTGCTTTCGTATAGCACAGAAATAGAATAAAAAACATTGCACCAATGTTTAATTGGATTAAAATATTATGTAAATTGAATATTGAATTATAAACCATCTTACCAACATTTAAAAGAATTTAAATATTACTTAAAAATTCAAATACTGGAAAATAAGTACGCTTCGTACACTAGAGCTAAAATGACAGCAGTTAGTTTAGTGCTGGTAAAAAAGGAGGTATCTCTAATATTTTTATATTTTTTTACCATTACAGTGGTTATTTCTTCAACTGTGACTTCAATACCATATACGGCTGTCCTCAGAATCGCTCTTTTAAACGATTTCATCTGTGATCTACATTTTCACACTTCATTGAAGAAGCAATTAGCAGGTTCCTCCAAAATTTAAAATAAATTTACTCTGACTCTTGTAACATTTATAAATAAATCTTTGATTAGGAAAGGCCAGGCTGGCCAAAATAAGGTCTCAAAGGACAATTTTTTGATCCGATACCAATATTCTTGGTCTTACCAATAACGACATTCACTTTGAAAGAGACATTTTTGAAGGAATTCGAAGATATGAATTAAATTTTTAAAATGCGCGGTAATGCACAAATTTCAATAACCATCAGGGAGTGATTAAGCCGTTAATGCACAAATATTCTATAACAATCGAGAGCTGATTACATCACGTGCGAGAATTAAAATATTAAATAATCAATCATAAAATCTTTGAAAAATGCAAAATAGATCGTATTTTAATTTTTAAAAGCCATAATATGTTAAAACATCGATAAGATATTAAAACCAATTTTTTTAAGTAGGTACGTCATCTTACATCATCCACAAATAATTTTCATAAATACACAAACATAAACTTTTCTTTCAAATAAAATGCAAAATTAAATTCTTTTTAATATTTAGAAGCATAAATAATATTAAATCACGGAAATTTGTGCATAATAAAACCATTTTTTTAAATAAAATGACACCAAAGTTCGTTACCATAAATACCTTATCCAGCAATGGGTTTACCGTAAGTCGTATTACTCGCCAAAAGAAAAATCGCCAAAATCCGGGCAACCGTCTACCAAAGTAGCACCTTTCAAATATTGCTTTTGTTGTGTTGATGAGGAAAGGATGCACTACAGTATTGAAGACAAATAAAAGGTCTTAGACATGATCGAATGGTGACAACTTTCTTTGTAGAGGATAAAATTCGCAGGTACTAACTATCAAGTTATGCATTAAATATCGAATTTCAAAGATTCGTATTATGCACTATATTCAACAAGGTCATGTAAGCAAAAAGCAACAAAAAGGAAAGTAAGATGTATAATATTAAAAAACAAGTATATAATGATTCTCTTCATATATGAATGTGAGTGCAATTTATGTTTGCTTTCAAATAGTTATAGCTTTGAAATTTATTTGCAAAATTTTCTACTAAATGTTAAAGAATTTACTTTGAATTTGTTCTACATATGCTGTATATCTCTTTCAAAACCTCCTTGTTGCAAAATAATGTGTTCAAAACATTCCTCAAAATAAAATAAGTAGCTTTTATGATGCTAGAAACGAGATCACATAAGTACTACTTATCTGAGAATGCTTAGAACAGTCAATATTTAATAAAAATATACAGATAATAGAACATTCAGTATTTGAATGCATATTTCTAGCTAAAAGTATTCTTATGTATACTTTAGTATTGATCAATTTAGTTTCTTTAATTCAGGATTATTCGATCTTCTTAGAAGTTAGCTTACATAAGTTTTGCTTATGT